GAATTTCTCCTCCGTAGGTAGGTAAATAATGATATATGTACCGATGAAAAGAGATGTGTGACACTCCAAAGAAAGCAGGTAATTGAGAAACCCCATATTTTAACTGGCATCATGCAGACATAGTAACTTCTCCAGCTGTACAACAATTCTCGCTACAGAAACAAGGCACAAAGAGACATGCAAACTGAAAAATGTTTAGAAAGCTTATGCCACTTGCCTCAATATTTATTTGTTTATATATTGTTTGCTGTGACCTTTTTTTTTGGCTGTGACATAGGAAGATGATATCTGGGAAAGGAGAGCTGGACAGCAATTCTGCAGTCAGGTTAGTGGACAATCAAAAATACAGGATGTTAAGTGAAATGTAATGTGTTGGTATAGCATGAAATAATTATTTAAAATGCACAGCCTTCCAGGACATAAAACTAATTACACTGTGACACAGAAGACAAGAAAGAGAAATCAGAATGGTTTGTCAGACCAGACATGACTGATGATGTTGAGGCGGTGCCTGCTGTAACCTGCTGCTGCATCCTTTCATTATCTCAGTACTGACACCTTATGATTACTGATAGTTTGGTGTGAGACCTCCTTTTGTTGACCCCGTTCTTAGTAAATTGAACACTGAACTCTCTCAGCACTGAGGGCAAAGTGAGTCATGTCACAGTGCTTGTTCCCACAGTTCCTACAGGTCTGTGGACAAATGTGTTTCTGGAGGAGCAGGGAGCATTTTCTTGACTGCAGGTGAAGATCACACAACACAAAGGTGAGCTAGAAAATTCTCATTTAAAATAAAACACTGTGTGCTTCCTGTGGTTTACTATAAATGCTATCAATTCAGAGCCAGAGCCACTTCTCAGCACTTCTGACTCTCTGTAACCATGTGTTTACAGCAACAGTCTGGGGCACACACTCTCAGCTGGAGGTTTGCTACAGTTTTACTGATTTCCTGGATGATCAGGGGGACACCATTTAAACATAACATGACACTCTGAGAACTGGACATTTATGTGGAAACTCCCAGCAGCCATGGCTTTTCACTGCATAGGAATCATCCAGATGCTAAATGCTAGTTCTATGTCTCCCAGTATTCTGAATCACTTGCAAGGTATTTCCTCTGGGTGCTCCACTAAAGGATTTCTCTTCCACATTCAATCCCATTATGTTACATCTACTATGATATATACCTCCTTATACCTCCAGGTTTTAAAATTTAATACATCATCAATGTGAAAGTGTGCCTTAATGTTAAATCAAAACTCTGTAGCAAGAATAATGATACCGAAGTGAAATTGTGTATAAAATAAGAGTGTTCACCTTCTCATGAACCTTGGCTGAAGTTGTCACAAATTTCAGTTGATTTCATTTTAAACTTAACACAGTTTGCAGTGTGTCTCAATCTATATTCCCACTAATGTCTCTAATAGTGATGAATGGTGTATGGATGTCAAAGTGTTCCACATTAGAACCTGTATCTGTTTATAGAAAAGTCAATGTGTGTATTACTGAGAAGAAGCTTGACTCTGCAGGTTGCAGCTGTGGAAGAATTGATTCTATTTGTAACGAGTGAATTAAGTTTGCAGCAGGAACAAGAGTTCATTAATATTTTACTTTCTCTTTAAGACCATTAATCCATGAAAGTGAATATGACTACAGTTACAGTCCCTTCAAATTGTGAGGTTATTTAGGTCCACCCACATTCAGAGTGACTGAGGTCAGATTCTCTGCATATAGCAGCTGACTGCCCTTCATCACTCAGATGGTTTGAATGACTGTCTGAAGTCAGGACTTACTGGATTAACTGTCTACACATACACACACTTATACACAAGGAGATATTGGACAGTGTGGTGAAAAAGCAGCTATTGTTGGGGTTGTTGCTGCCAAACCATCGAGGATGGTTCTGTTGTTGTCTGTCTCAATGTACACTTACCTTGAGCTGTGTGATGCTTTTTTGTATGACATGAGTTTCTATCCTGACCTGTTTCAGGACCACTTCCTTATTTACATTCAACTAAAAAAAAAAGCCAAAGATCAAATGCACAGGGAAGAAATAGGAAGATAGAAAACTTTATCTTGTGCATTGCAGTTAAAGTTGCTTTGGCTCATGGGTTAGCAAATGAATGGCATTAGCATTAGCATTCCTTAAGCATTGTCTTTATGAATGTGATAAATATAAGTCCTGTCCTTATTTTTTTTGCTAATCTCACCAGGGACAGACTATGTGGCCACTTCATATATACTGACTTTTACTCAGAAACCAACCGGTGCTGTTATTCTGAGATATTATCCCCTGTGTCATTTGCTATGTGCCAGTTACTTTATGGTAATCTGATTAAAATGATTTAGGAATAGGTACCAGGTCAGCATGGCATCAACTGAAATAATAATGGCTCTGGAGCTCTACATTTCTGATGAGCAGTCACCGGCCACATCAACCTGCCCAGTGTTTGATTGTTTGTTGTATCTTGTTGCTTTTATTTTCTTTCTCTCTCTTCTATTCACTCACCCCACCCAATTGAGGCAGAAGGCCGCCCACCAAGAGCTGGGGTCTGTCGGAGGTTTCTTGCGTTAAAGGGAGTTTTTCTTCCCCACTGTCACCAGGTACTTGATCAAAGGGGATTTGTTGGGTTTTCCTCTATAATAATAATAATAATAATAATAGTAAGGTCTAGACCTTACTTTGTAAAGTGTCCTGAGATGACTTTTGTTGTGATTTGGTGCTACACAAATAAAGTTGAATTTGAATTTGAATAAAATAAGATTTTGTGTCACATCCCTTGACAAGACAAAGCCTTAAGGAAAAGTTGGGGAATTATGTATATATGTTAAATATCTGCTTTCAGGGCATTAGTAGGCGGATTTTGTTAACCTTGGATGCACTCAGTTGAGCTGTTTCTTCATTTCCAGTCTTTATGCTAAGCTATGCTTAGCTATGCTAACCAGCTGTTGGCTCCAGTTACATATTCACTACACAGACATATAAGCGGTATCAATCTTTTAATCAAAATCTCAGCAAAAAGTGAAAAAACACTGTCATACTAATTCCTTTAAGGTTTGTTTTTTCATTGTTTTGATCAATATTGCATTTCTGGAAATGTAGTGGTTTGTGGAGTGGGTTAAAAAGTGTGTGCAAAATATTCAAAAAATGTTACTATTTCTGTTTAAATTAAATTTTATTCATCCCCAGGGTCTAGCCTGGTTGCTGACAAATAACAAGAGAGACAACCAGGTCTCAGCAAACTATTAATACACTGAACACTCAAACAAATTCAAAAAGGACATGAAATGTGACTCCAGAGCTCATGTTAAAAAATAATACAACTATTATGAAAGGAAACCTGGAAAATGGTCTTGGGTGGCACATTATAAATTGCAGTCGATTTCTTGTAGAACTGTGAGTAAAAGGGAAATTAAGCTCGATGGGATGCTGAGGAATGAGGTTAAATGTAGTCTATAAAAACATCTTATATCTGATGTTTTGGATTTCCTCTGCAGGGCTAGTTGCTTCTGTAAAGGCCTATTTGATTGGCAGTGTGGGCTTTTTGAAACATCAAGTAAGTATTTCAATGCAAAAATGGTCAATGAATATTTGATGGGTAAACAAAAGAGCTTCACTTCTTTTATAGTCTTTGTGAAAGAGAGCTTAGGTTTGAAGAGAAGTGGCAAAGAATTCACATATCCTGAGTTTGACATTAAATGTGATTCTGCTCTTAATTGGCTCATAATTTCCATCTTATATACAAAGACATAATAAATTACATTATTGTAATACTGTATATGTGTTTTAGTAAAAAAAAAAATCAGAAAGCAGACAAATAAAACAGGGAGGGTTTGGAGCAGAGTGGTGCTATTTGTTCAGAAGAACGGTGGCGCCATCTACATTTGAACACTTGAAGCATCACTTAGTTGCAGCCATCTCATTTCACAGCTTTAAAACAATCTTAACTTCGGTTTGACAGTATGATATCTGATACTCAAAATTATATCAGTTATTATCCTGGAGGAGTGTGTCAGATTATTTTTCAATGTATTGCACTATGAATTTCAAGGAACTGAGAATATTAGTCTTTTGGAGTTGACCAATTTGTAACTTTCATTCTCTTGAAATTCTTATATCTGTCTTCTGGGAGTGAATTTCTGAATAAAGAAGTACCCCAAAGCAAAGATATTTGGCAGCCAAGCATGAAATACAAATGTCAACTCTGAAGGTTACTGACTGTGCTGCATGGAATTCCAACTAAGAAATATTTTCTTTGAGGACTGAGCCAGGTTTTAGTTTGTTGGACTAAACATTTGGAAGCAGGACTCTGTTCCATAAAAGCTCTTTGCAGAGAGGGTGTCAGCCTTGCATCCAGGAGGCCTATGTGTTTATGCACCCTCATACTCACCACTGTCTGAAAAGTCCAAATATATTCACACAATGTAGCCTACAATGTTCAAAATGATGACTGTAGGCTAACAGTAGACTGAGAGTGAAATACGTGTGTGAATTCTCATTAATTCCTTTTTATATCAGTATATAAAAAGGAATTAAACAAAATTAACAAAAACTGAGAAAACAGACCATCCACATCGTGCCTCACTGGGATTATTATTTTAATGCAATATCGCGACAATATGTGATTAGATTCTCGCGATGTCAAGCTAGCTAGTATTAGCTAGTAAGATGTTGTCCAAAAGCAAGGAAATTGAATTACACTTAAGGCGGAAAGTTGCAATGTGTTTTTTTTTTACGTAGGACCTGTTAACTGATTATAGCTAACCTTACCACGATATGGAATTAAGACTATATAAGTTAAGTAATTCTTCCCTTAAATTGACCCGTCTTTTCGAGCTTTGAACAATAAAAATGTATTTGCTCAAACCGATATTATTTTGCATCTTTAGGAAGCATAGGATGCTTTCATTTGACATTGGGTGGTTGTATTTTTGTAATTAATTCCATCACACATGTAGCAACTCATTCTTGTTGAAGGGCTTTTATTTTGGCGTTACCGGATGTTTTTGTCTGTATGATTTAGGCTACTTTACTAGTCCATGACGGCGTCGGCTTCATCAGCTTCAGCTGAAGAGCAAACCAACATCAGCTGAGTTTGCATTAAGTGTCATCCTTGTAGCTAAAATACAGGAATTTATCATTGCGTAAAATTCAACAAGCTGTTAAGTCAATGAAATAACTGTCATCTCTCGTAGCCGCAGAAACAGGACAGAGGCAAGGGGAGAAATAACACAACATCAAACCAAACCCGGCAAACAAAGAGGTCCTTTTTCAACGGCAACATTTTTCCTCCATACTCTATAGTTATGAGTCATGTGGCCGTCGAAAGTGCCCACGGTCTAGAACAGCAGGTAAGCCACGTCAGTGTAATGTTTTTTGCGGCGCCGGCCGATGAAAATCGTTATAACGGTAGGGGAAAATGTTATCTTGCCGGCTAGCCTAAACCACCGCTAACGTTATTATATTGTGCTAGCTAGCGTCGGGTACGCTTCATTTCTACACGCACTTGACCAAAAGGGCCTGCACAGCAGGGAATGGACCTCATGAAATGAGATTTAAAATCCGACATGAGGCCACGTGATTATTGGATTAGATCTGTGTATGCTACCCTAAGGAGCTGGCCAAAATAATATTAAGGAAGTTGAAGCATTATGTGACCGCTAGTTCAGCCTTTGTAGAGACCCTGATGACGAATTACGTACGAATAGTATCGTCGGCTATTCTGTGTAAACGTGTGAAACGTACCCATGAAGTATTATATTCACTGCGTTTATCTTGCAGCTTGATACAATAATTAAAAGGGGTATGCGGAGATGAAGCTAGCGGGACTGACATAGACAACAGTTTAGTCCACCGGCTTTCAGATAATGCACAGTATTGCACAGTTTTCATGCATGTTTTGACTGCATCCTGCTTTTAAAAATGCTCGTTTTATCTGCGTCACCAGCAGCGTATTGTAGCTGTGTCTGACTGGTCAGACAATTGGATGGCAACCGAAGAGTACTGTATGTTCTCAATTGATGTTTTGGGAAGGTCTAAAATGTGTACGATAGAGGTTGATGCACAACAATGACCTCATTTAAACATAAATGATCCTGTACCTCACAATGCAAAACGCTCTACTTGTTAGCATTGTGTGCAGAAATTAATTCGCCTAGTTCACTAAGTCTTACTGCAGTGTACAAGAGCATCTCATTCCCTTGGCCCAGATTCAGTTTCTGGGTGAGGGTTGTTTCCTGGACAGCGGTGCGATTGCCTGCTCAGAGGAAGCTGCAGCACCAATATTGAATCATCATTTTGCTATTGAGCAGCTATTGCTGTGTGCAGCTTGCTGACATCACCAGTAGGATTTCTGCCTCAGGTTCAAAACTTTTTCATTCTAGTGTGCAGAGTTGTTTGGTGCCTTGCATCTTCTGTCTAATCTGAACTGTTCAGCATCTGTCTGCTGCCTGGAAGCAAAGCATTCACGTTGCTTATTATGGTGGGTATACAGAAATACATAGTTTGCTCTAGTTGAAAACTAGAGCAAACTATGTATTGTTGTATTGTATGTAAAGTTGGGCTCTAGTTTTCAACTAGGCAGCAGATTTTAGTATTGTCTGTTGTAATTTTGTGGCTTCAGATCCAAGTGGAAACCCAGTATGTCCTTCAAATCCAAACCCTGGTTGATAATGGCCATCATCAAAACCTTTTAGGGATCCAACATTTTCCACACATGAACATGTAGGCCATGAATGTGAGTTCTTGTTTCAACTCACATTAGGTGAGTTTCCACCCATCTGTTATTATGTGCATATTTGATTTGTGAAGGGGGGAAAATCCTGCATGGAGGCAGTGGAAATTTGGAGAAAAACGCCCAAATACTGCAGGAGAAAGTATTTACTTGGGTGGAAAAGTTACATTTATGGAGAGAAGATGCCCTAAATGTTTCTGCACTTAACAGGGATGGTGCTGGAGTTGCTGCTGTTTCACCCAGTGTAAAGCCCAGAAAAGACGGAGTAACAAAATCACACTGTGAAGAATGAAATGTGCATGACAAGATTTAGCTTACCTTAAATTATTATGTAAGGGAAAGTTGCAGTTTTGAGCTGATGAATATGAACGGTGACAGTGGAGGTGTTGAACTACTGAAGAATAAGCCTAAAAATGACACTTTGTGTGTGTTTTTCTGACTGTTTGTCTTTGTTTCTTCCAGCTCGCTGTCCTAGACTTGAGTGCAGCAGACGGACAAGGTGGGGGCACAAACAGTAAGCATCCAAAATGTTATTTCTCAAAAGAACGGACACACTTGCACCCAGAACAGTTTACTTCCACAAGTAATAAGACTGGGGATGTCATAAAGATGGGGAATAGGGAAGTGCTCTGTAGACACTAAACTGTGAAGCACAGGAAAGTTTGGCAAATGTTTTGAACTTCCTTTATTTACAGAAGTACTGGAATGCAAAGTAGGGATGCACCGATGCCGATACCAGTATTGGTTTCAATACCACCCTCTAGTACTCTACTTGTACTTGTAAATGTTGTCCCACCAATACCCGATAACTCCAGCATTACATTAACCTCATGCTGGCTGAGCCGGTCGTTAGGCGGCATAGAAGAAATTTCAGCAGCTGGGGGATATTTTAAGATAAGTGACGAAAGCTTGGAAGCTCAGGTTTTCTGTTTGTGTGTGAGCGCCCCTCCCTCCCCATGTCACCCAGGCACAAGGTTCCATTTTACACAGACATCAACACCATATATGGAACAAAACCAACAGTAATGGAGAGAGTAATTAATCAGACACCTGTTGAAGAAACACAGCACAACAGCAAACTTGCAGAAATTTGATGTCTTCACTTTCCCTGTGGTCTAAATGCCTGGTCCCGCTCATTCTGCTAGAACCACCATGGAGCCCATTATGCTACCTGTAGTGAACAGGAAGAAAACAAACACTAGCTTTATGTAGATAACATTAAATGAGCTTTATGTATGAAAATGGATTGAATCCTTGTGAATGTGGAGGCTGAGACCAACAGCTCCTCTGCAGCAAAGCAGGTTTGTGTCCAGCAGGGAGTACGGGACAGAGCCACAGACAGCAGCCTGTTTAAAATAAGAGCCTCGCCCTCATTAAATTAAACTAGACTGAGGTTCTGGTCAGGGGGGTTGTTAAATCATTACATCCTAACACAGGGTCGCACTCCTGCAAAGGTTGCACTGTATTACAGTATGTTGTGTAGCAGGCCTCAGACATTCAGTATTCAATAGGAATGGTGGCAGTGCTGTGTTTATCACAAAGACTTTAGGTAATTTTCACAGCCTCCTGTTACATTGAATATTCTATTTAATCACTATCAGAAAGTAAATTTCATACATTTAAAAACTGCCTCTAAAGTCACTGCACATTTATGGTAATTGTAGTTTTTTTAGTAGAAACATTGCATCATTAAGTACTTGGTATTGGCAAGTACTCAAATGTAAGTACTTGTACTTGGTCTAAAAAGTGACATTATGATGAAGAAATGTTCTATATAATTGTTATTTTATGTCACTTTCCTTGTTCATAATCTTCTTCCCAAATCAGTTGATCACAGACCAGAGCTGGTGTCAGATGCATGTTTGCAGTGCATCTCAAATGTCTAGAGTGATTTTTCATTTTATAGTTTGACATTTATTAGAATTGGGGTTGTTTTACTAGTTTTGTGTAGATTTTATATGAATAGAATCACTAAGGAAGAAAACTGATGCTGATGTCTCTGTCTGTAGGGCGATACATTCCTCCACATTTACGGAACAAAGATGCTTCCAAAAACGGTGAGTAGCATCAAGTTAAATCGAACATATGATTGCATTCCGTGTTATGGATATGAATGCGCTATATTTACTTTCCAATAAAACACTTGCATAACCTAATTTTTAAGTATTTTAAATAGTGCATTACATCAGTGTTTGCTTGCTTGCAGCCTTCTAATTCCCTGCCTTTTTCTGAACCTATGTTTCTTGGCATTTACCACCACCCACTGTTCAGTGAACATAGGGTCAGGGTATGTTTGAGTTCAAATTAAGGTAAGGGGAAACGTATCTACAGGGAACATTACTTTTATACTTAAAATAACCTTTTTGTGCACTTTGTAACAACTTGTTTTCCACAAAGTAGACATTTCACACAATGCAATTTCCCAGATTGGGATTCATAAAGTATTTCTATCTATCTATCTATCATGTAGCCTGAACTGAACTAAGTAACCACTGCACATCACAGATGTATGTCCACTGAGGCGCAAATAAAAACATTGATCCATAAAATACCGATAAGCCGTGCATGATTATTATGAAAATCAGTGGTTTATTTTATTTTTATTTTCATCCAGTGCTATCCAAAGTTCTACTACTGCTCAAACCTCAACTGGGTACCCTTAAAATACGGCATTTTTTTACTGATAAAAGCTGAAGAACTAAAGCATTGTTTTCCTGCCCAGCAGGAAATGCCTTTGCTGCTGGCCGACAAGGTGGCTACACCATGGCACCTCCAGCCAACTGTGAGTTCCTCTCTGAACTTCTCCCACACTCAGTCATTTATCAGTGGGCAGTCCCGACTTGGTGGCACATGACTGGCAGCAGTCAGCACATTGTTAAAGGCAAGCGACCAAACTGCAGATGTTCATAGGTCAGGCAGGCATTAATGAACAAGTGGCCAGAATCTTTATAGATTTATACTTGCAAATCCTTCTGTTGAATTCAATTGATGCTTTTTAAGGTGGTGTCTCACCCTTAACAAGAGAAGTGTATCAAGTATTTTGTTAAAAGAAAGAAGAGATTCCTATAGTTTCTTGCCATTGATTTCTTCTTCTTACTACACATTGTTCCATAACATTTCCCAGAAAAGTGTCAATAATTAATCTGTGAAATTGATCAACCTGTTATTGGTAAGCAGGAACCTCAGCAGCAGTGATGAGTATTAACTGTGCAGATGTGGTCCTGGGACACTCAGACCATATTTCATCTCTCTACAGATGGCTGGGACTGCGGGCGCAGCAATTTTGTTAATGGCTACCATGACAACCGGATGACTGGCAACTCCTTCAACCGGGGACCGCCTCGCATGGAGCGGGGCCGAGGCGGCGTTGGCGGGGGCGGTTACCGTGGCAACAGGGGAGGCGCTTTCAATCCCATCAACCCAGCACAGCCAATGGGGTTTGCTGGTTATGAAACTAAAGGTGGGCTTTATATGGGAACTTAATTTTCTTCAACACAGTAAATATGTGTAGATTTCTTTCTTTTACAGAAAGAAACTGCTCTTAAATCAGGAAATAAATATTTCTTAGTCTCTTGATGATGAAAAATACAACCAAATATTTATCCAAAGGTTGTCCAGGCAGAATCAGACATATATGTATTCTTATTTTTAAACAATTTGTTTCTTATTTGGTCTCTTGTTTCATGTAATTGATCAGCTTTCCTTCTTTCCAACTTTTCTGTCAAAATATTTCTTTAGCTCTCAGAGGATAAATATATTTATCAAGCCATTACTCTTTTCCCGAAGGACAGCTTTACATTAATCCCTTGTTCCCCCATGTGTCTGTGAATGTATGAAACTGGCTCCTTATAGTTTTCTTTTTGGCCTCCTGTCAGATGCAGGCAGCTGGAACACCACCAAGGAGGTATATAGCACTTTTAGCAACAACAGAGGGAAATCTGCATTCTTCAACGACAGAGGCAACGCTAACAGAGGGAGGTGCGCAGAGGAACAACAGCCGTCTTTTTCTATTCCTTTGTCTCTGTCCTAATGCTCCTACATCATCAATGTCTTTGTGTTCTACTCAGGTTCGACCATGGTGGATTTGGTGGTGGTGGAGGAGGAGGAAACAGCCGCTGGGTGGAGGAGTCCAGAGACGATGGAGACTGGTCCAAACCGACACCACGAAATGAACGTCTTGAAAAGTGAGTCTTTGCTTTCGTCAGACTGATCATAGATCTGTTGTGCTTCTGAGAGCTGTGCAGTGTACTCCTAAACTTGGAGAATATGAAAATGACCAAAATAATGCAAGAAGAGTTGGTGAGTCTCATAAAGCTAAAGGGGGGTTATACAAAAAACCATAATTTGTGTTGAAACAGATATCCTGTGTAAATCATGGAGCTTGATTTTAATGTGGAATTATTGCATTAAAGTGCATATAGCCATCCCTAGTGTTAAGGCGCAGCGCTCTCACCACTGTGCCTTAACTCGGTTTAACTGTTCAAGTCAGGGTTGTGTCAGGAAGGGCATCCGGCGTAAAACACGTGCCAAATGTCCACATGCGATGATTCGCTGTGGCGACCCTTAAACAGGAAAAGCCGAAAGTGACTTTTTATTGCATGTATTTTCTGAACACTGCTACAGACTCAGCAGCACTATTTCTCCTGTTTTGTTAGTGAGTTGTTCTCCGGCAGTAACACTGGGATTAACTTTGAGAAATACGATGACATTCCTGTTGAGGCCACAGGACAGAACTGCCCTCACCACATCGAGAGTGTAAGTTGTTGCTAATATTACACATGAGCCATGTCATTACTTGATACTGCTCATTTTATAAGTGTGTGTGTTTGTGTTAATGCTGTAGTTCCAAGATGTAGACATGGGTGAGATTATCATGGGTAACATTGCTCTGAGTCGCTACACCAGACCAACCCCTGTCCAGAAATATGCCATCCCTATTATCAAGTCAAAGAGGGACCTCATGGCCTGTGCGCAGACGGGTAGGACTTGCATCTCTGGAAACAAGATACATAACATAGTAAACTATTACTCTAAGTGCACATGGAGATGGACAAGGTTGATGTTGTGTCTGTAGGTTCTGGGAAGACTGCAGCATTCCCCAATTCTCAGCCAGATTTACACTGATGGACCAGGAGAAGCTCTTAATGCAGCTAAAGCCTCTGGACAGGTAAACAAATAACCTAAAATCCTAAATGTACTAACATGCATGAATTCCTTTCTAAGGGAAATTTTATTGTGTTATCAATAACTAATGAGTCTTTCAGATTAGATTAATGATTTTAAAGCATATTTACCACAAAGAACAAAAACATGGCATTAAGTTTAGATGGAAAACCAGATGAATTAGCAATTCCACTGCTTTCTAATGAGAGCTGTTTCATAACACATAATCCACAATGCCACAAATGAAACCGGCAGCAGCTCCAAGTCACTTGTCATCAGTTTCACAAGTGCTACTCTGCACAGGTTTTAATAAGCCATTAATTCATGTGTTAAACATTAGAATGTTTTGCCAGCCTAATCTAGGCTAAATGCACACTGAGCAGCTGTATGATGTTGGAAAAAAATAAATAAAAGACCAGGACTCGCTCTTAAAAGTATTTTGGGATAAAGGTACTTGATTGAGACATTTCTACATCTTGTACATATTGTCAGAAGTTGAGATTAATTTTATGTTCAGTAGACCAAAAGTAAAGCTGATGAGGTAAATAAATGATTAATTAATACATTTTTGAGCAGTTCCTGCACTGTTAAACAAGTGTTAAATCTATCCAGTGTTGACAAGTAGCCTGACCATACTCTCCTATCCTGTTGGTACCCCAGTGCCACTCCCTGTGGGTCCCACCCTCCATCTTCCTCCAGCTTTAGAGCCACTGACTCAGCATATTCTGATAAAAAGTGACCTACATGGTGTAGCTCATACATTTAAAGCTCACATATAAATTAGCAGGGAGTCCAGGCAGCTGAAACTGCCTGCTTCTGCCTGTCAATTATTGACTTTGCTGAGCTAAACTTCTGCTTTGTGTTGTTGTGGTTGCATCACAGGAGAATGGGAAGTATGGACGTCGTAAACAGTACCCCATCTCTCTGGTACTGGCTCCAACGAGAGAACTGGCGCTGCAAATATATGATGAAGCCAGGAAGGTATATGTGCACATGCGTACACTTCAGCTTGAAGCCCCAAAAGAATTGACACAAGCATTTATCCCTGTATTCCTTCATCCTTCTTTCTGTTATAGTTTTCCTACAGGTCCAGAGTGCGTCCCTGTGTTGTGTATGGAGGAGCAGACATTGGCCAGCAGATAAGAGATCTGGAGAGAGGCTGCCACCTGTTGGTGGCCACACCAGGAAGACTGGTGGACATGATGGAGAGGGGCAAGATTGGACTGGACTACTGCAAGTAAGATGTGGAGGAGGGAGTGAAGGATAACTGTGATTCCCCCAACCACTGATTAATGGAATTCAATGGTATCACTGTGTTTTCTTCACTGCAGGTACCTGGTCCTGGATGAGGCAGATCGTATGCTTGACATGGGCTTTGAACCACAGATAAGACGCATTGTTGAACAGGACACCATGCCACACAAGGGCATTCGACAAACCATGATGTTCAGTGCTACCTTTCCTAAAGAGATCCAGGTATGTTTGTTGTGACCCCAGTTTAGTTTAGTACCACAGATTATTTCCTCTCGTTCAATAGTTCCTGGGACATTTTGGTCAAACTGCTGTTACACTGAACAGAATCTGAATTGGAAACCATAAAACTACTGCACTTTGTCCAGTACTGAAAATCTCTTAATAAGCCCACCACCTGCTCCTCCTGCAGATCCTGGCCAGGGATTTCTTGGAGGAGTACATCTTCCTGGCAGTGGGCAGAGTGGGATCTACCTCAGAGAACATCACTCAGAAAGTGGTGTGGGTGGAGGAGAGCGATAAGAGGTCTTTCCTCCTGGACTTGCTCAGTGCTACAGGTGAGATGGTCACACATCACATCTCAGCCAAAACATGGCATTTGTGTTGTATGTTTAACACAACCTAATGCTGATCTGTGGTGTCTCAGCCATTTGGACACATTTGGAAAAGTTCAGAACTTTGACTTAGTTATGTTCAATTTCTATGATTATTTCCAGATTACTTGGAAAGGGTTTTAGAAATTCCAGTTATGGCCTTTCTAGATATGCAGAGAGCTCAAGTAATTTTGCCTTTCTTTGGATTTGCAAGAGGCCTCAAGCAAGAAGAATCCAGCCCGATTTATTGATTACATCTCATCTAATTCATTTTTTTTTCTTGGCCTTGGGGCCAAAATGGTGAGCATGTCTTTTAAAAAGATGCCATCACTGGCCTGTAAAATTGTTGTCCCCTTCAGTTTACGTTGCAACCCATTTAAAGACACGTTTGTGGCTTTTTTGGTAGTAAAACAAACGTGAACTGAGGCAGAGGTTCGGTCCATGAGGAACATTAAATATACAGAGTTAGTTTTCTTCTGGTGACTGTGCGTGGTTTACATGTTGGTGGTTTGGTGTGGTTTTATCCAAAGTTATCCCCAGCGAGGTGCAGGACAATACTGGAGACAACATAGAGAAGCCTGGTAAGATCCTCGATCCTATAATCTGTCATTCCATATTTTTAAATAATTTTGCTTGCCGTGAGTATATTCCCTGTGGGTGGAGAATCTTCTGTTGAGTCTTAGTTTTGGTTCTTTGTACCATTTCATGGGTCAGGTTTGCTCATCTCAAACCAAACATGCCTGTTGTATTTTCTGTGGCTCTCTATGTGCAGTTTGTCACTGTGGTGTCTTCAAATCAGACCCAAAACCATGATGGAGAGAGTTTGTTTATGCTGTTGACTCATGTAGACTCATCAGCTAACAAATGGATAGAAATGTGCACTGGTGGCCTTCACTTCATAACCAGGTGGTGATGTCTAGCAGGAGCATAAAGAAATAAATCTGACCAAACCCTTTCCATCAGTGGCTTTGTCACAGTGTCACAGTGCTGCTGTTAGCCTGTTTTTGTTTGTTTGTTTTTATTTTTCTTGTGATTATCTTTTGGTTTTATTCACACTGCACCCTCTGCTGCCTATTGCTCTGGTCTGTTCACAGATAAACATCTACTATAATGTGGTGTAAACAATTTACTACTTAAGGTGCATCTTATTAAGAGTAATACATACCTGCACAAGAATTCCTATATGCCTAGACTGTTGATGCATAAATGGCAAATAAAAATCTTGAAATTATTATTACACCAACTGAAACAAGCTTTCCGGCAGATCCAAAGGAATATGCTCAGATGATTGATAGAAACTGTGATGCAGGTCATTTCTTAAAAAAAAAAAAAAGAGCAATAAATGGAAACGGGTAGATGGTGAATTGTCACACAAGTGTTATATTTTGAGATAAACATGTTTGAGTTGAACAGGTTAATCTTCAAATCCACATCTTGTAATGAAATGGGACGTCTGAGATCAGTGTAATCATCTGGCTCTAACAAGTGTGAAGTCATTTGGTCTGTTTATCTCTTAGGTTCAGGGAAAGATACCTTGGCACACAAGTTCCACTGTAAAGTTTCATGTCTGTTAAATTGTGTCTGCAAATTAATCTACCCCGGTCACCCTCTGACTTTTCTACAAGTATGGACAGATTAAACCCAGCTGCCCTGATTCATAAAACCCCGTGGTTACTGCTTTGCAGCATTCAAGATATGAGGACAGAACACAGACGAACCCTGCAGCCACTGTAGTCTCACCGTTTGTTATCAATTTAGCAACAACTGTGATGGTCTACTCAGCTTTAATGATTAACCTCAGGTGTCTTTTCTCTCAATTGATCAGGTAAGGACTCATTGACTCTGGTTTTTGTGGAGACCAAGAAAGGCGCCGATGCCTTGGAGGACTTCCTGTATCGGGAGGGCTATGCCTGCACAAGTATCCATGGCGACCGCTCCCAGAGAGACCGAGAGGAGGCCCTGAACCAGTTCAGATCAGGAAAATGCCCCATTCTGGTGGCAACAGCGGTCAGTGAAAGTAAAATCCTGGTAGAAGCACCGATTATATGGCTTCATGAAAATGGGGAACCTTCTTAAACTCTCTGCTCTTTTTGTACATACTCAGGTAGCAGCTCGGGGCCTGGACATCTCCAATGTAAAACATGTTATTAACTTTGACCTGCCCAGTGACATAGAGGAGTATGTCCACCGTATTGGACGTACAGGGCGTGTGGGAAACTTGGGTGAGACCACAGCTAATGTCAGTCAGTGAAGGAATCCAGTGACGCGATACATGATTTAAACTGATGACAACTTTTGAGCCAGTCCTGCAAAATGCTGTGATTTACTGCTACTGTTACTTCCTGCTTATGTACCTGTAGGACTGGCCACATCATTTTTCAATGATAAGAATGGGAACATCACTAAAGACCTGCTGGACATCCTGGTAGAGGCCAAACAGGAAGTTCCCTCATGGCTCGAGAGCCTGGCTTACGAGCATCAGCACAAGAGCAGCAACAGAGGACGCTCTAAGAGGTACACATCTCCTTAGTTGTGTAAATGTATGTGTGTGTGTTGATACTTAAGAAGCTACACTCATGAGTTTGTCTAAATGCAGTGAGGTTGGGTCTGTTTTTATAGATGAGCTATTTTATTTCAGGTTCTCTGGTGGTTTTGGAGCACGTGATTATCGGCAGACGACCGCTGGAGGCAACACTGGAGGGTTTGGAGGACGTGGTGGTCGCAACCAGGCAGGACACGGGGGAACCCGTGGATTTGGAGGAGGTGAGGATCTGCTCCTAACTAGTGTTTAATGATACTTGGTAGTCTTTCAAGAATTTTTCCAAAACTGCTTAAGAAATGTGACTAATTTATACCAATGATGTTGTGGTTAATTCAAAGCTTGACATCAACTCTAAGAAGACAAAATGGATGTGTTGCAGAACAGCAGTAACCTTCACTGCCCACAGTGCAGAACTAATTGATCTGGTACAACAGCATGACAAATGGAGATTTTTATCCTCTCTGTTCCCTCCCTCTCAGGTGGATTTGGCAACTTCTACACCAGTGATGGCTATGGAGGCAACTACTCGCACTCTCAAGTTGACTGGTGGGGCAACTAGGTTCCTCTGATCCCCTTCCCTCGTCCCTGTTCTTCTCACTCATCCTTCTTCCTTTATCCACACCGTTACCTGCACTCCGTCTGTCTCCTCCCCTCCTTTAACCCCAAGAACCTACATGCATGTTATTAAACTATTTATACTCATTTATATAGCCCTCCTTTCATCCCTAAGTACTACGATCTTTTAATTCCTATTTAGTCTTACCTGGACCTTCCCATCTTCAGCTTTATAGTCCCCTAGTTTTTCTTTTTTGCTCAATCTCATCTCTTAAAATAGGCCATAATTTAAAGGGATTCTTCAAATTTAGTCGGTTGTATTTCAACAGCTAATAACATCCTTTAGTTTCTTTGTGGACATTTCAAACTAGTTTTCCTCTGTGACAAAACTAGCCAATTAAATTGAAGTTGTAGGTGTTCATTAAGATGGATGGGAACATCAGTTCCACAGTATGTGCACTTCTCCACATCAGCTGGTGAAGACCAGGGGATATCCATTTTTTCACTTCAGATCTGGGTTTTGGCTTTTCTTTGTTTGTTTTCACCTGAAGCTGGCCAGGCTCCCTGTGTACCTTCACATGCCATCTTTGTATGTAATGTGTGGCCATGCTGTAAATCACTGGCCTAGACATTTTTACAAATCCAGCTGAGACATAGGCGAGTTGTGTAATCTGAGCAAAATATGTCTATCTAAATTCAGGAGTGGGAACTGACTGGTCTCCTTCGCTTACGTGACAGCCACAAAATGTTTTCTAATTTTCTCACATTTTTAAAACGTATTGAACTGTCGATATATCGAGGTCTGAGAATGATGACTGAGACAATGCCTGGATGAAACACCCAGTCATAGGTCTTAGGACTTAATATCACAACTACAAACAGCATTTTCTTTGTTTGAAACAAAACATAATGGAGGATCATTTGTTTCTGTACTGTGCCTTTAAGAATTTGAACTGTCACTTATTTCTATTATTTGTTTATTGCCATATACATAACTGGCTACAGATATTGGCCAACTGTGACTAAAGATGCGTATTTAATGTTATGTATGGATTTAAACATGTTTTTCTTTCTCTTTAATCTATTTGGAAGGAAACAAAATAGGCTTGAACTAAATCAAACCTTGGCAAACAAATCTTCAATGAGGAAACTCAAAGCTGTACCTTATCATTTCAAATTGTTCAGGTCTCTGATGAGCTGATTCCCAAAAGCATATTATCACTTCAACCATATTTATAGACAGATTAAATGCACCCTCATCCAAAGTCACTAAAATTGGCCAAAAACATTATATTTGTTTGAAAAAAGAAGCTGTTAAAAATGACAACAGACCTCTTTGATTTAGCACAGATATCAGCAGTGGTTTTTTGCCTTTGGGAAACCAAGTTCTACTCATTGACCTGTGTGCCACATGTAGAGCTCCTGTCTGAGCTTGAGTTTGGGTTCCTCAGAGTCATCTTGCCACTAACAGTTCAGTCAGGTGCTGCCATTAGCGGAGCCACTGAGAGGGAACTTGGTGTGGCTGTGCAGCAGTAGCCATGTTGGGCTGCTTCTCCTTCTTACCATTCAGACATGGGGTTGTACGTGTAGATGGAGAGACAAGTCAAAGTGTGATGCTGCTTCCCAATCATATCAGATTTATGGTCGTTGATAAAATGGTTTGCTTTTTGTTTTTAACTCCTGTATTTTTATTCATATCTATTTTTTGAAATAGTGAAACATTTTGGCCAATGTTGAGACTTGTCACCACGTTCTGCCGCGAAGTTACAGCAGTGGTAACGTCTCTGTGGTGTGAAAGCTATAACCACTACATGGCTGCTGCTGAAAACAACAGCTACCAGATTTGATCAGTGGCTGTTCAACTGAGTCTTAGTGCCACCATGCTCTTTGGAAACCCGCTCCTCTTCCACCACAAACATTGAAAAAGCCAAAAGCTTCTTTCAAGGGGATACACAACTAAAATGCTGTAAGAGTTCAAAAAATTTTGCTCACTCTATCCTGGAGAGTTACATGAAGAGTTTTCTCCAAAATAAGTCATTCCTGATTATTCGTTAGGTCTTCAAGATCAGTTGAGATCAGGGTTAAAATTAAAGAACTTGATAAGCTAGCCTAACCCATTTCACAGCAGGGGCAGCTGAGGCTTCTGGAGGGTGTAACGCCAAACCTCCGTGACACATTTTAGTCATGTTCTGTGTTAATGTACTATGATCACATGTCACCAGACACAGTTCAGTGCTTACATTCTCTTTACTATAATATCCATTCAGCAAACACTGTTCCTCTCTGCTTTGTCAGAGGCATGATGAAGTCGGTTCTTCTGTTGCAATGCGACAAAGAATACAGAAGTATTTCCAGATCTAGATTTCAACTAGCCTGTAGGCAGCGTGCGTTGACACTTTATGATGCGTGTCAAAAGCACCTTTGGTTTTTATCTGATAGCAACATGCTCGCTACTACTGCTTATTCATCTTTTGTCCACATGACATCGATGTTGTGCAGACCTTAACTGGCACAGGGCTGGTTTGTGCTGCATTGTCCCACTTTAGCCCTGCTGAGAATATGAAATACAAAACCTAGCTTGGCGTAGCACAGTAAGATACAGGACAGATAAAGTGTGCTAGTGGAAAAGTGGCATGACAGAACCAAAAACCAATGCCTAGTACCAGGTGAGCACTACTTTGCTCTGCTATGAAACCAGGTTGCAAGGAGCAGTTGACCTGCAGCCAGATTATCCCTGTTTCATCCTGTTGCAACAGAACTCCATTGTGCGTTAGGGTAGTTCGGTGGTAGAGGTCTGGTCCTCCACCATGTCTACTGACAGCTGAATGAGCTTCCTGGTGGTAGGATCTTAAATTGTTTTGTCTACATGAACAATTTTAGTGAAATAAACAGATTAACAACACTAGATGCGTAGAAGTTGAATCACTTGATGCTGGACCAGGCAAGTGTCTGCTGCACTTTGGGCAATTTGAACACAGCTGGTAGATTTATTTTTTAACAGTTTCCAGAAAGTGCATGTGTTTGAACATGCATAAACCAATAACGGATTAATTATCAGGAGGCAGATTCCCTGTACACAAGAAGGGACCAAGACAATATAACATATGGAGTTGGTGGTGGTGTTCTTTGGTCCAGGAGTTAAAAATGTCAAACAAATCAGTACAATTATCAATACAGTTTTCCTGTTGTCTCAGATTTTTAGACTATGTTTTAATTAGAAGTCAAGTTCAGGGAAACGGTAGGCTTTCTGCTGAGTAATGCTGAAGGACTGGGGATTCACATAGACACCAGGCCACATACAAAATGTGCAAACTAGATTTTCCTAAAGCTTTCCTGGTGTCCATTCTCTTGTCAGAGTTTGGAAAGATTTCAGTGATGTATGTCTCTAAATCTGGTTCACCCTCTAGTAGTTTAAGTGAGTGGCCAGTGTAAAAGGATGAAGGACAACTCATAGGATACAGTATTGTCAGAATCATACTCCATGTCAAGCTTCCAAATGAACCAAAATCATAAATTAGTTTGCAGCTTCTTTCAGCTACCAAGTGTGGTTCAGCTGTCAGATTAATATTATTGTCGCACAAAGTGTGTTGTTGCCATGGTTCCAGTTGCATGCTAAACTACTAGGAGCACTGGTTAAAATGGGAGTTAATGCGTTGATGATTTAGCACCTGTTTAGCAAATAATTTTTCCGTGGTCTCAATTTGAATAACACTCTTTAATGTCTCCTGCAGTGGTGGTGGAGAGTCTCCATTTTCAGTTTCTTACAGAAACTGTTTTTGTTAGTATAAAGATAGAAACCCATAACAGGACAAGACATTAAAGATAACAATGCAAATGACAATCGGTTATAATTCACTTTACATGTCGGCAGAACGTTTTAAGTTGCACTTTTTAGCAGTTGTGGGAACACCTTTACATGTAGGTGTTTTCTTAAGCGGCTGTCCTGTGGGCAGTGATTTGGTAATTGTTGAATTTTAATCATGCACAACCAACTTGTGTCCTCCACGGTGGGAGGGACAGATCTGCACAGCAGATAAAGGCCAAGCTGAGCTTTCCAGCTGAAGATGCACCCTCTGATTATGTTACGTGACCCACTAGTAGTTTGGAGTTGAAATAATATGGGCGCTATCGGGCATTGACCGAATAACACAGTACTAAGACTTGATTATAATGATCCCCTGTGTAGGACATTTTCAGCAGCTGTTACTTGAATCCATAACTATTGCCAGGCTCTTGTGTTTAATAAAAATACTAAGGATGTTGAAATACATTTAATAAGGACAAACGGTGTCAGGCAAATGAAGCTGGTTCAGTACGTAGTCATTGCAGTGCTTTCTAACAGCCACTGGGGGGCAGAGTGGAGCCATGGATAGATGAAGGAGTGACTGAGTGTTTCACATGCAGTGATCAAGATGATAAAGTAATTAATACCAGTTCTGGGCATGTTGTTAACTGCTGGTAGTGTAGATAGGAAATTTAAATTTGTGAGTTGTACTGCAGGCAGTCGTGACAGGTCAGACTTCAGTTTACCTCACTTTTCATCTTGTTTATAGCACAGTCTTGTAGTGTTCAGAGTGCACAGATAAATATGCAATGTATGTAGGTCTTTTTCTAGGGCAGAAAGATTATATCTGTCAGCTGTACTTACCTTGGAACTGTGTTGGAACCAAACCCCAACCCCACCTCATCAAAACACCCCCTGGACACCAAACATCTACACTAAGTAGATCAACAGAGATCAGTTACATGCAGCTTGCTTTCTCTTTGCTTTCACCAGGAATCATGAGATTTCCCTGGGCTGTTTTCTGTCTGTGTTCAGTTTGACGTAAAACACAAACTGGTGCAGATTAAATCAGCCTAAATTCTGTGTGCAGTGCCTTGAAATGACTGAATCACTAATTCACAAAGGCTGAAATGTGTTGGTTAGGGCTGGGTATTTTCAATACAGATGTAAAGTCCAAACAAAGTAAATGCATTATGCTGTAGTGGGCATGCATGTGACATTTCTGTGTGAAGTCCCCATAGTCATTCACCCCACAATGGCAGACACACAAGTGCTGAGCATAGCAGGATTCACCAGGTTCACAAAACATTACTTCAAACCTTGTGGCAGTTTTGTTAGCAGCTTTTGTGCAATGGATGGCACAAACAGAACGGAAAACAATTTAGGAAGAAGTTTTTACTGGCTGACTAAGATAAAAAAAATGGTCTTTGGATTCTAGCTTTGTCTTTGGCCGTCATGCTAACAGGTCACACTAAGGGGATGAACACAGCATGTTAGCATTTAGCTAACATCCAGCCTCAGTACCAGCAGCAGGCTATAGATGCTCTTGCTGTTAGTTTTCCCATTCATAGAAACGGTAATGAGTATATTAAATGAAACTCACACATAGTATGATGCAACATCTGTTTGGACCTTCAGCTTTGCTGTTTAGAAGCAGAGCATACTCTGCTTATTTCCTCTGGGGGAAAACAAAACTTGAGTTGTCATTTAAAAATTCAGCACTTTAGTTTTTGGTTTTTGAATATTTTCAAAACCTTTTGATGCCTTAAATTAAAGGGTGGTACCCAGCCCTAATGGAGCAGATGGTGAAGTTGGCTACACTGTGTATGGTGTTACCATGGCAAATGATTCTGCGCCACTATGGTAACAGAGTGAACATTTAATGGTGCTATGCTCCCTTTGCTGCGGCCTGCAGGCCCCTCTGTTGTAGAAGGACTTCATATCCCACTGAGTTTTACAGCAAATACTTCAGTTAATTTAAGTTCAACTGATGTGTTCTGTAGCACATGTCCTTCAAAACCTCCAAGAGGTATGTATGAGTGAGTGAGACCGACTGAGGTGTAGTCAAAAAGGGAGGTTTCTCCACAGTTTAGTGTGTGTGTGTGTTGAATGGGTAGGTTCTTCCAGATTTGAAACCGTTTCTTGGGACCAGGTGGAGTTCTAGTTAACAGCAACTGCAGGATTCAGCTGTTTGCACACAAAGTTCTCGAGTCTACTTTTGCTGCAAGTTTGTGTAATTTATCAAGCATTTTTGAGAAATATTTATTTTTATAAGCCTAATTCAGAAGTTGATGTTTTACAGAGTGACTTGGCCAAAAGACAGTAAACAAAATCACTGGCACTTGAATGTTGAATGTCACTGGTATGAGTGAAATTTCTATTTTTCTGGGGTAGTGTGAGCTTTTTAATGTTAAAGATGCAACATGTAGGGGTTTCTCTTTTCATATGTCACTGTAATAAGCTTGGATTATATAGAAAAGCTTCTTTTTTTTATTTAAACCAGATACTGTCAAAATGCTGAGGCCAGTACAAAGGTACCCACACCACATGCACATCTTTTGTTCTATCTTTATACAGTCTGGCCCCAAGAACAATTCTTATACTACAAATGTTTTGAAAGCTTGAACTGACTTTTGTCCCAGCAAACGTAGAACCTGAATACATCTATGAACTCAAGTTGTGTTGTGAGGTGGCAGTGCGCCTCTTATTTCTTCCTAGTCCATATTAGTCAAACAGCATAGGAGTTGGTTGGTCCAGAGTGAAACACCTCTACAACTGTGGGTTTAAAGCTGTTGAAGTGGTAGTTACCTTGCAAATCATTAGCATGTTTGCACTGTGAGCAATTGTAGCTTGCTAACATTGGAAATCTTTGACTGTTGACCATTTTTTAATCATCTCATAATATATCGCCCACTGAGAAGAAGCTACATTTATTTTTTCTTAAATGAAAGTAGAAATAGTTCCTGTTAAAGTTGCACCAAACCTGTGGTTGTTGTTTAATGACACTCTTCCCTTCTGTCATGTAGAACAATATGTGATGTGCACGTGGTGTCACATATAGTGAAGCACTGACGGTTGTATTACAGTTAAAGTGACAGTGACATATTAAGAGAAGCATCCTGCCTGGGTTACCTTTAAAGTCTCATTGGACTCAGTATCAGATCCATTAACCTGTTTCTGCACAGGTTCCATTGGCAACAATGATTATCAACCATAAACAGCCATTTTGAATTGGCAAACCAAATCACCATATATGCCAAGGTTTGGATTAAAAAAAATTAAAATGTTACGATCAAAATTCTTTTGTAATGAAAAACATGCAGTACAAAAAGCAAGTGTCCAGATTCTCTGAGTTTGTTGGTTTTTTCTTTTTTAATTTATGTCTTTACACTTTTCCTTCCTGTTAATACCCTCATTGTGAATGTCTGGCAAGTGACAGTCTTTAGTCTTCATAACAGAATTAACTGTGGTTCTATTGCTATGTTGTGATTTGCATATTTTCAGGTGTCAGTGTGTTAATGCTGTGTCGGAGGAGCGTCTGGCCAATCAGAAAAGGGGATCCATCCTGGCATTAGAGTAACATGAGGTTTCTTTATTGCAGCTGCTGCTGAGCTGTATGAATCTTCATCCATTTTGCATGATAATGTACTGTAGGTAGCACAGACACTCTGTGGTTATACTGAGCCATATCCATTTGACCAGTGGCTATAGCCTCAGTGGACCAGAATGCAATGCAGCCAAAGCAAACCTGATTCTGGACAGAAAATACATATGGCACGAAACTAGTCACCTTTTACCTCCTTTTATATGCACATGGCTCTTTAGTAGCTGTTCACAGTTTGTACTTTGGGAAACCAAGTACATAAAAATATACTTTGTTCCTTTATTTCACTTTCAACTTAAAAGGTAAGCTGACATTAAAAGTGTCTATTCCTTTAGGAACAATTGCTGTTTAGTGGCTGAATTGAAGTGGAGCTCAGAGTCGTTGCCATTACTGACTGGCCAGACTGCTCAACGTGGACACACAGCATCACCGGCCTCGTACTTAGTGTTTGCTTTATGTATTAGTTTAGCAGTTGTGCACGAAGAGAAAAAAGCTGTGCATCTATTCTGATTTTACCACAAATAAAGGTTTGGATTTGCAAATGTAACTGGTATTTTTTTTCTTCTGTGTGTGTGTGTGTGAGAATGTTTAGAATTAAAAAAGTCATTTTTAAGTTATTGAACAATTTATTTGCAGTTAGACATTCTACAACATGATTTGAGAAACCTCTCTAGAGCGTGTAGAAAACAAAACCCGACTGAGCAGACTGGACTTTGCTCTCCTCAGCTGTTTTATTACAAAACTGGATCTCTGAACTAATCACTATGCTTGTGCTGCAGAAGGTTAAATATAAATTTGAAAGTTGGACCAACAGTTGCTAAAAACACAAGATTTTACTACATTTGTAAAATGTGGAAACATTTGTCTCTCACCACAGATCATGTGCTCCTCTGAGGCAAAAAACACCATATGTAACAGCTGTGTATGACAGCATTACAGCTGTTGAATTAAGTAAGGCTTTCCAGATGAGGTCAATGAGCAATCCAATGCATGTGGATTTACAGTACACAGGTCATCATAGTCCATGAAAAGGTGTTCTCCAATGGCTTGCATAACCCAATTTCTCTGAAAACCTCATCACTGTGAATGTAATAAATGTGTCGTCCTTGTGTTGAGTCAGCCATCACAGAATATTTGGTCCCTGGATTTTGAGCCTTGAAGCAAAGTAAAGGGTTTACATAAAGCCTGGAACGTGCCTTGTTGAGGCACATGAAAGGGTTTACATAAAGCCTGGAACGTGTCTTGTTGAAGCATATAAATGTGCACACTCCCCCAAGCTGAGCCAAATAAGACCACTTGTCAACATCACCTGGCTCAGTAATTAATATCAAGATAAAGTGCTTTCATTTCCAGGTGAACCTTTGCATTGGCTCTGCCTTCCTGTTGACTAGCACTTCACCACCACTTGGTCCAGTGATCATTTAGAGACAGGTCAGAATAAGAACCAATTCTGTACAGTAAGAGTGATGTTTGTGTGTTCAGTGATGGTTATTTCAGCCGCTGAACTACACAAAGATCATGTGAAATCATTTTATGTTGGCAGTTCACGCTGTGTCCTGTCGGTTAAGCTGCAGGGCGCAGCAGAGGCCACTTATTTGGCTGTAGCTCTTTCAAGCTGGCTTCCGATTTGTCCTTGGTCCTCATCTGCTTCTGACCAGAAGTCTAGGTTGTCTCTGTACCATTTGACTATAAGACATACAGGAATTAATATTTGTACATACAGTATCTCTTTGTCTGCTCATATCTATTTATTGAACTGAGAGACGGTTGAATCTTGCACAGAGATTGTTTACACTTGTGGTGTGTATGTGTCTGTAACCATACCGGTCTGCCTGATGCCTTCAGCCCAGGACACCTCAGCTCTCCAGCCAAGCTGCTGCAGCTTCTCACATTTGATGGGGTAGCGCAGGTCGACCTGCGGCCTGAGGAGCATCAGTACATTCAGATATTTGTCATGTTGTTACAGTGCTAAGCGAGGCAGTGTCCTGGTTGGATAATGAAACATTTATGACTGGTTGACCAGGCCTGGTAGTATTTTAGATGGGGAATAATGTGAAGTTTTTCTAACAGAGGTAAAGTAGGCAGGAGGAAGAGCTTGTGTGAGGATGTGGCTAATTCCTAGAAGCATTACTCTAAGATCCACTGCAGGCCTGGTGCACCTTTGCCTGCACTTGTTGACTCACCTGTCAGGCACAAACTCTAGCCAATTATTCACCTCAGAGTCTGGCACATTCTTGACCTAAAAAAAGCAGTTTTAAAAAGTGTTTAATGCTCTTTTTTTTATATACACAGGGCATCTGCCAGCTCCATTTTAACAAGCTCACCATTTTAACAAGCTCTCTGGCCAGTTGCCTGATGGGAATCTCACAGCTTGCCCCCATGTTGTAGATTTCTCCCACAGTCCCTTTCTCCAGGACCAGCAGGAAAGCGTTAATGGCATCATCAACAAACAGGAAATGGCGGGATATAGGGAGGGTTCCCTGGATGGTGCTGCAGCAGAGAGGAGCAGAAACAAGATGCAGTGAGTTTGGTTTTTCTCTTTGTGTACCATGTCAAACAAATCCTGAAGCTGGATTACAACTACAAGGTTTCTCAGCAAAACCTGTGCAAAATAAAATGGAAACCTACCATTTTTTATTCGTTTGCAGGAGGGTGAGAAACCTGGGAATCACCTAAAAGATCGAGATGTATTGTTTGAAAAGTCTGTTGGAGATGGAAATTTTATTTATGCGAGATCTTGTGGTGTTATGCTTAGGTAAAGCGAAGGTTCAATGCACTCAGTCTTGTTTAACTGGTGCATTTTAATGCCTGGGAAATTTCCACTTCCAACTGTTCACATTTACATTTATCTTTTGTCATGTAGAAGAGTAGTAAGCACAGATGTTCAGTGACTGACAAATTATTGGCACATGCACAAAATTAAAACAAATCAAATGTAAGAGAAGTGAAACAGCAGATTACAAGGAAACTATGTGGCACTGCAAACCACTTTACCTTCAGTTAAGCTTAAGTAATCATATTTCTCCAAAACAAAATCATGCTGATCCTGCAGTTAACTGCTACCTGATGCTCCTGACAAAACCAGGTAAGCACAGCTTTTGCAATGCAGTGTGGCTCCAAAAACAGATCCACGTATTTGACAACAAAGTCCTCCAACCACTGTTACTCATTAAAGCTACGTTCAGCAGCAGTGTTGTTAGGATACTGTACCTTCTCGGTGTACTGCCTGGGCCCGTAGATATTGTTGCTCCTGGTAATGATGATAGGAAACTGGTAACAGATACATAGAGCAGCATTTAACTTACAAAAAACATGGCTTTTTTATCTTTATATTGCAATGAGTCAGTTTGAGACCTGCCTAAAACCATATGATAAGTGTTTTGTAAATCATGTAATATCTTTCTGTCCATTTATATAACCTGTCTCTGTATGTACCTTATATTTGTCCCAGTAGGACCTGACCAGGTACTCTGCAGCTGCTTTAGTAGCAGAATATGGGTTGGAGGGTCTCACTGGACTGCTCTCATCAAATACCTGCAGAGAACAAACACCCAATATGTCAGTCAGTAAATCACCCACTAATCTATCAGCCCAGGCTCCACCTGTTCCGAATCTGCTCACTGACCTCGTCCAGACTGGGTCCATACACTTCATCAGTGCTGACGTAGATGAAGCACTGCGGCTGGTGTCGGGCCTGATGGGCAGCTCCCAGTAAAACTCCGGTACCAGTGATGTTAACCCGCTGGAAACTGGTCGGACATTCAAACGACGACTCTGCAGGAACAAACATTACAGTGTGTACAGTACTATTGGTCCAGTTTACAAGAGGAACCTCAGTTTGAATTACTGCTGCTCACCAACGTGGGTTTTAGCTGCCAGGTGGAAGATCACATCAATGTGTTCTGTGTTGAAAATGTGGTTTACCAGCTGGGAGTTACACACATCCCCCTGTAGAAGACAGGAGGAGATTTTAATAGTTTGCTACTAGTTTTCACAATAGTCCAAATGGCATTGGTTCCCTGACAGGACTTAAACGAAACCTTTTGCTACTGCTTGAAACTATGTGATTTAGTTAAAAACATTTGGTTTTTAACTGTTTTAACTGAGTTCACTACTCTAAACTTGTTGACCAGCCAGCTGCTTTCTGAAGCTTTCTTCAGCTGTAAAATAATATAAGATAACTGTTCTCACCCTTATAAAAGTATAGTTTGTTCTGTCTTCAATGCTCTCCAGACTCCTTGGGCTGCAGCAGTATTCCAACTGAGAAAAAAACAAACAACTAATAATAAGAGATGCTAATGCTGCTGTACATGATGAGGTGAACCCATTGTTTAGATTCACAGAGACTGGTATTCACTGTTTGCCTGCAAATTTTATATGTGCAAGGAAATGAGACAAGTGTTTAAATTATTACATGACAGTAAGTCAACACTGAAATATGTACAGTGATGTATTAATCCATTCACTTCACACAGACAGTGGAAACGTACGTTATCGAGGTTAATAACTCTCCAGTCTGGGTGTGTGTTGACCAGTGAACACACTAGATGGGAGCCACTGGAGACAGAGAAACAAACAGATAGAGATAAATTTAAGACAGAATGTGCAGCATAACATTTAATCTATAACTCACTCCAAACATTAAACCTCAAGTCAAAGTTAATTTATTCCTCATATCTATATCTTACATGTAGTAATTCTATAGTAATGTCAAGCATCACTAAACCCTAATACCCTAAGCATAGCAATACATTTGCTACACTAGTTATACAGTAAATTAAATCATCCACACAACTAGCTATATTAACATTCTGCTTACATGTTAATGCATAAGTATCAAGTGTAATGAGTAATAAGAATCTAATATATTCATATATTCCATCTTTAGAAACTGATGAGAAATTACATTTCACCAGTACTTTAAGATAGGTTTAATATAATAGGTTAACATTTTAGTAGCTTATCTAAGTAAGTAAGTAAAGGTTTATTTATATAGCACCTTTCACAGATAAAATCACAAAGTGCTTCACAAAGTCAACAATGCAGAACGCAAAACAATATGCCAACAGCACCAACAGATAATATATAAAAACCATAATAAAAATACCTCTACCTAAGGTGTATCTTCCAAAAGATAACAATCTGCATCATACATTTGATTTCACTTATAAACTCACATGAATCCAGAGCCTCCAGTCACCAAAACAGTCCTGTCGTAGTCCATTCTCTGGTCGAGACTGGACTACTTAATTCACATTTAGGTCTCCTACAGACATAAAACCGGTGTCTTCAACATTTTTCTCTCCTTTATTCAGCATGTCAGTCAATAATACAGAAGATCTCTATTTCATTTTCTTCCGTAGAAGCATTGTGCAATATACGACAGTCGCGGTCTATTTACGGCAGTAACGACACGTTGATAATGGGCGGGATATTTAAATGGGATGTAGTCTCTGGTTTGTTGTCTTGAGTGACGTATGAAGTTAGTGCTTTTTGATTGTGTGAATCCCAAGTCAATCAAACTCCACGGTGCCGACTGCGCAAGGCAACCGTGTCAAGCAAGTGAGCTGCAACAGACATAAGGTCTAAAAGCTTTTTCAGAATAAGAATGTGATGAACAGCTTTTGTCAAAATAGTGATTAAAGTGCTACCAATGCATTGATAACACTATATTAGTGTAATATATAATAGTTCTTAAGTCAAATGGGTCAAGTACATTTACTTTTGATACTCCGAGTACATTTTGCTGGTAACACTTATGTTCTTTTACTTACCGGTATATACACTTTTTAAATGCCTTTTACCTTTAATGGAGTATTTTAGAGCCTTATTCCACCTCTGTTGGCCATAAAGCCCACTTTAATGAAAAGTGCTGGTGTTATACAATTATAAATTTTATAATCAAGCACACCTTTATTTTTATATCACATTTAATTTTTAAAAAATCCCGCAAGTGCCTTCATGCTTTGTGTCATTCTGTACATCATAACAATTAATTCATCTTAAATAGTTCTTAGATATAAGCATAAAACCTTTATGTGAGGACAGAAAGACGTGACTTCCGGTCGCGTTCTGGCTAACTTTGAATAGCTTGACACACCTGGTTTACTTCTGGAGTCGTGGCTCATTGAATTGATTTGCTAAGGTTTATTTGTTGATATAGTTAAACTGCACAGAGGAAAAATGGTGCATTTATTAGCCACGCTCGTAGCTGTAGTGCTTTTCAGTTCGGAGACGTTTGGGAAAACTGTAACGGGACTTTTTAAGAGCGAGGTGGCGAGACAGCAGAATGGTCAATTCATCACTAAATTTATGTACCAAGGTAACGTTAACGATGCTGCTAACGTGTCACGTCAGCAGTGTATGGTTAGCCTATAGTCAGCATTCATTTAAACTTGATGTGATTACCATGTGTGGATGGAACCCACTGTTTTTGTTCTCTAGCTTTTTAATGTGCCACTGATGGGTGTAGCTAGCAAGTCATCATCATTTATCTGATGAGTAACATCCTTAACATCGCTCTGTATAACGTTACTTTGGCTTTCTTTGTGCCACCTAATAGCAAATAGGTATTTTCCAGATTTTTTGTTTTTAAGACCTAGTGAGTGCTTTATAAAGTTGCTCTAGGAAACTTATTTGTGAGTTTGAACCTTGCACCTTCAAATGATCCAAGGAGAAGCAGTCCTTTCTCCTGCCCTGCACACCCAGTGAGGGAGGCCACACATCAGCTTCAGCCCCTCTGGAGCTGCCAGGGTGATGCTTACTGCAGGACTGGCTGGTTAAAATCTGCATAGCCTCTGAAGCTCTGGCCGAGATGTGGAGGTCAGAGAGATGCCACAGTGTGTGTTTGGTTGCTTTGCTTCTTTAGTTTCAACTTATCATCAACCATGTAACTTATTTCAGTTAAAAAAAAAGGGTTAAGTCAGAAATGATTGTGAAACACAGGGGTTTATGGGTAGAAGCAAGGCTGGATTACCAACTAGGAGAAGGAGACTACTGCCATGGAGTCCCAGGACTCCTAGGGCCCCTGAAGGTTACACACTGTTTCTCTACAGGGTTGTCCTCATGGGAATAAGGCTGCAACTTGCTGTTTTGTCATTAGTGATTAACATGTTGAGTATAAATTGTTTAATTTATAAAAATCTATAAAACTTTAGAGTTTAAATTTAATTTGATTCATTGTAAAAAAAAAAAAAAAGTTCTAAATAAAAATAATTATAAGAAGTTTGATTTCTAAACTAAAATCTGCTTAAAAATAAAAAATCTGTAAAAGTTTGAGATGAAAAATGTTGAAAAATACCCAGCACAGTGCCCCAGAGCCTGAGGTGATGTGTAGTCTGAAACCCACAAATATGCCATAAAACGGAGACAAACTGGGAATCATCGCATTTTAGAAGCTGGAACCAGAGAAATTTTTGGCATTTGTGCTTTTAAAATGTAATTTTAGTCAGTTTGTCTTGATTTACATCATTACAGCACAGTGTCAGTGGACCTGATGGACCTTAAGGTGGGCTCTGCTTTATTACCAAACCATAAGCCAGCACTCGCACTGCACAGTGACTGGCAGGTAGAGGTAGAGAGATGGAGGCAGGACTTTTGAAGCCAGTTTGCACTTTATTCCTGAACAGCTGTTTTGTGTGAAATCTCAGATGGATGGATGGATGGATGTTTGGGAAAATAGCCAGCAGTGAAAATGTGTACAGGGGTGGGCTCCGGTGGAGACTGAACACTAAATCTTGTTGCTACCCCCCATTTGCCTGCACTACATTACATAAACACTACAAAAGAAACTGTGGATCATTTTTTTTCTGTTACCCATTGATCTAATACCGTTGTCTGTGTCTTTGTCTAGGTGATAATGGTCTGTTGGTGTGTCGGCTGGACAACTCTGCCCTGGCTACAGAGAAGGAGTCCAAGCTGCTGCTGTATCAGGACATGGACTCAGACCTGAACAACCTCAGCTGCTCTGAGAGGCTCTCTAGAGCCCGGTTCACCAGTAAGGCCCAGCATTAGCTAATGGAAAGTGCTGATGGATGTAGTGCATATTGATTTCTTCTTCTTATTCCTCTCCTTCATCCACGCCTTGTCTCCCGGTCCTCTTCCTCCTCCTGCTTCAGTTTCTCTCAGTCAGGAAGAACACAACCAGACCATCCCCCGTCAGTCCTCACCTACGCCCTGGCAGGCCCTGTACGCTGACAGATACACGTGTCAGGTGCTTCCTGGTATTCAACCTATTTACAAATATAATAAAATAGTAGAAAAAGCAGAAAAATATAACTGGTATTATTATTAATATACTTGATAGTAATAGTAGTAGGTGTTTGTTCAGAGAAACTCCTGTTCTGCTGCTCTCTCTCCAGTTTCAGTGTTTATTCCTTGTTCACTGTGTGTCCCTTCAGGACAGTGCAGTGATTCCTTCACACGCTGATCTCAGTTTTACTCTCCTACTCTTCAACGCCGACTCAGCTGGAAGTCCTCTGGAGCATTTCAGTGCAGAGGAGGCAGGTCAGACATCCCCAACACTCCCCCCACCACAGGTGACATGTCTTAGTGAGCTTGGTGTTGTATTTCATGTTCAGCAGCTTCATCTGTACAGGAAATGTGACTTCATTAGTTGCGTCAGTCGAGGTGAGTCTAGATGAAGGGTGGTGGGAGGTGCTTATGCTGTTCCAGTGACTGGTCAAAACCTTTCTATGCCGGAGTTTGTATGCGATTTAAAATCATTGTTACTTGGGTGGCATCTTGCACCTGATGAAGTTAGTTAGAAAGATAGAAAGTGTGTGTCTCAGAGCTGCATAATGCATAGATGTGACATAATAATGTAACATAATTAGTTACTGTGACTTGGATTTGCAGCACCAGTGTTTCCTCTTGACTTGTTTTATTCTCTCTGTCCCTCAGGTCTCCACAGTTTTTACTTCCTCCTGCTGCTGGCCTACTTTGTAGCATGCTGTATCTACTTCCAGCCTCTGTACCAGGCTTTGAGGAAAGGAGGTCCCATGCACACCGTCCTCAAAGTGCTGACCACAGCGCTGGCATTACAGGGCTGCTCCGCTCTCTGCAACTACATCCATTTGGCCAGGTAGATTCAGCATGAATGTGCACATCTACCAGACAGCGTCAACACCATCACAGGAAGGAGCAGTGGTTTGAGAGGGTCTCACAAAATACAATGTCTTGTAAAAGTATTTATACCCCTTGAACTCTAACAAACCTCTGAGGCCTTCACAGAACAGCTGTATTTATACTGAGATTGAAGTACACACAGGTGGACTCTGAAGGCAGTTGTTTCACTGGATTTTATTTAGGGATACCAGAGGAAAGGGCGCTGAATACATATGCACGCCACACTTTTCAGATTTTTATTTGTAAAAAATCTTGAACACCATGTATCATTTTCCTTCCACTTCACAAGTATGCGATACTTTGTGCTGGTCTATCACAGGGGTCGGCAACCCGCGGCTCCAGAGCCACATGCAGGCGGCTCTTCAGCCTCCTTATTGTGGCTCCCTTTGAGGAGACGTGCTGAAACGCTTTGCTGCTTGTCTGGAACATGTCAAAACCTTATTAGAAAGCAAAGGCCTCAGCTATCACGAACTGGGAGACCTTGATTGGCTGGAAAAGTTTTATTTCATGGTAGATATTTAAGCGCGCTTTCCCAGGGAAAGGGAAGCACGGCCCTACAGTTGCTGGAGGATGTTGTGGCGTTTGAGCGCAAGATGACGATGTTTGCCAGAGATGTACAGAGAGGTAGCTCTCTCACTTCCCCTCCCTGAGAGAGTTCAAAGAAGAGGACAATCAAATAAATTGTGATTATTTATACCTTGCAATTGTGGCAATGCAAGCTGCATTTGGAGAAAGATTCAGCGAGTTCAGAAAGGAAAAAACACTCTGTCCTTCCCTGTCACACCGCTGGACATCGACCCATCCCTGTTGAACATATCCACATTCACAGAGATAAGTCAGCCCGATCTTGAAACTGAACTGGTCGACATAGCGAATAAAGACTTCTGGGTATCCAAGTTCAAAAGCCTGACAGCAGATCTCGAAGAAGTCGCCCGTCAGAAGGCCAATCTGGCTAAAAGCACAAATGGAATGATATTGAAAACTTCCCCAAACCCGACAAACTGGTTTTTCCATTCCCAACACGTATATGAACATATCCCTCCTGAGGCCAGTGTCAGTCTCAATACTGCAAAGCACTTCCCTCTGAGACAGGGAGGAAGTAAGAAGTGATCCAAATGTGGAAGGGCAAGTAGAGTGACAGCACTTTTACATGTGTGGCATCTTCATTGGTCCATTGCGGCAAATAACAAGCAGCCATGTATGTTTGTGTGATGTCTTCATGTTGGTCCCTGTGGGCTGTAGATTCTAACAGGATCACAATTACTGTTCCTCAGAGAGAAAACATCAGAGAAGGATCTGAGAGCTTTCTCTCTCCCATACATACACATCAGTGCCCCACACACACATACACACATCTGCTTTGTTCCTTTGGTCCAGCAGCTGCAATTCCCATCAGAACTTTTACATCATAAAGCCCCGTCATCATTATTGCTGCCTCCCTTTGGTTTTCTCCTTGTTTATCTGTCTTGCTCACCGCTGCTTCATCTATAGGTCACAAATTATTCTCCTACAATATTTAGTAGGCCTATGCATGCACATTGCACTTTTATTTGTTGTATTCTGTTGTAACAGGTACAATTAAAAAAAGATTAAAATATTTTAAAAGTTTATAAACTGTGTTATGTTTTGCGGCTCCAGACTCTTAGAGACACTGCCACTCTGAGAGGCTCTTTTTATACCCAATCATGTTGCCAATTGACCTGGTAAGATGCAAATTGGTCCTCCAGCTGTTCCTTATATGTACATTTAACTTTTCCAGCCTCTTATTGCTACCTGTCCCAACGTTTTTGGAATGTGTAGCTCCCATGAAATCCAAGATGAGCCAATATTTGGCATGACATTTCAAAATGTCTCACTTTCAACATTTGATATGTTATCTATATTCTATTCTGAATAAAATATTGAAATTTGAAACTTCCACATCATTGCGTTCTGTTTTTATTCACATTTTGTACAGTGTCCCAACTTTTTTGGAATCGGGTTTATAAAATCCCAATAAAATACATTTAAGTTTGTGGTTGTAATGTGACAAAAGGTGGAAAAGTTCAAGGGGTATGAATACTTTTGCAAGGCACTTTAAACATTCATACATTTGTGCAATTGTTGTTCCTGTCTTAATTACCTTGACCATGAAATGAATATTCACACTCCTCAAGGTGGCCTCTCTTCGGTAAATGGTGTTTTGATAACTAGTTAACAAGGTGTAAGTAGGCTGGAGACTGGCTTTGCTCATCTCCACTTTCAGATGCACTTTCAATTGGCTTTTTCCATATTATGTTTTAAGGAATGAACCTCCCATCTGCTGTCTGTCTTTTTGAGTCTTTAGGTATTAGTTTACACTGGGACAGTTACACTGTTGTTCACGCAGCACCTTTCTGCATCAATTTGCAGATTGCCGAGGATCACTGAATTCCCAGGAACTGGTGGAAATCACTAGCATATTAAAGTAACACATTGACAACAGGTGTACATATACAGTATGCAAAGTAAATGGGCTTAATTAGGAGGACATGGAGTTTTCTTATCACTTGAGCTGCATCTGGTATTGGGTTCACGCATGTTCTTTTGATGTGGTGGCACTGGAGACCGTCTCAAGTGCCTCTGGTTTATGGTTTTGTACGGCTTTGTTACTTTGTGTGTTTTAGGTTTTTGTGTAAAAATTGCACAGATAAGTAAGGCTGTACTGAATAGAACTGAACTACCTGGTTCTGAAAAGACTGACAGAGAGTTTTCTGTTCTCTCCCCTTGTGCTCTGCAGGTATTCTCGAGACGGTGTTGGTATTCCTCTGATGGGCAGCCTGGCAGAGTGTATGTCACCATGTCTTTTCCTTCCACCTATATTTATATCAGCATCTAAAATTTGATTCAGTAATAAGAATAAGAATAAGAGGAGCTTCTCTGGGACATCAGATTTATGATTTGTGTCCCGTCTCTGTTTTCACTCCTTCGGCCCCTGTGCAGGCTGGGATATGGTGTCCCAGGTGTCCATGCTGTACATGTTACTGAGTCTGTGTATGGGCTGGACTCTGAGTCGGGGCAGGAAGCCTCAGTCCAGACCTCTGCAGTGGGAACAGTCTCCAGCCTCCACAGCTGTCGCTGTTGGTGGTGTTATTACTCAGGTAAACAGGATTACACTGAGAATGAAACTAATGTTTCGCTCAGATCGTGTTTTGTTGTTTTTATTTTTTTATTGGAATCTGGTTCCAATAAAAGTGATGCGCTCCAGAGTGAAACCAAAAACTAGGAGCCCTGGGATAAAATAAATACCTTTTATATTTTGGGTGTTGGTTATGAATATGGTCCAACCAGCCTGCGGATTTCATATAAATCTCAGACTGACCTCAGCACAGCTGTTATTTCCAGGGGGTGCTGCTCCTGTGGGAGCAGTATTCAGAGTCAGGGAGTGACCACCACAGCTACCACGCCCAGCGGAGTCTGGCAGGTCTCCTCCTCATGGCTCTGAGAGTGGGCTTAGCCCTCCTGCTGGCCTCTGTGCTCTACCAGATCATCTCCACTGAGAGGAGCACTCTGAAGAGAGACTTCTACCTGAGCTTTGGCAAGGTAAGCTGCAGTGTGCAGTAACACAGCCTTCAGACAGACATGTTCACCTACAGCTCTTCATGCGCTCTTTCTTGCAGGGCTGCTTCCTGTGGTTCCTCTGTCACCCCGTCCTCGTCCTCATGTCTGTGATCTTCAACGAGCACCAGAGGGAGAAGGTCTGAAGACATAAACATTTTAGCAAACCAGCACCATGAAGTGATACATTGATCAGTCTGTATGAGTTGGAGGTTTTAGGAAGGGTAATGTGACCTTGTTGAAGGTCTGTAGCCGTTCAAGTATAAATGTGCACTTCACATTACACATCATAGGCTGATTGCAAAAAACCACGAAAGGTACTGATGTTAACATTCGTCAGCTGCAGGTTTGGTCTTGACTTGGCATACGAATTCTTGTATATTCACACTGACTGGAACAGCGTTTGCATGTATTCATGGATCATCTGGACAGACAGACACAAATAGTAACCAGCTGTGGCTCTGCTGTTTCCTTTGCCCCCCCCCCAGCGTGCATACCTCTCAGCCGTGTCTTCCTCCTCTGTAGGTGGTGACTATCGGTGTGATCCTCTGCCAGTCCATCTCCATGGTGGTCCTCTACCAGCTCTTCCTGTCTCGCTCTCTCTACTGGGAGGTGTCCTCTCTCTCCTCTGTGTCACTGCCGCTCACTATGTCCAGGACGATCCACCGGGGGGGCTACTGACCACATCTGCTGTCACGTCATCATGGGAGAGGGAGGATGCGATACAACACAGAGGCTTCTCCTCCCTGAGCCTCACAGCCTGTCTGAGGAGCGAGACTTCCTGAGCATGAAGCAGAAAAGATAAGAAATGCTGCAACTCTGCAGAGAAGTCTCCTCTCTAGTGAGCGAGTTACCAGGGAACAGTAGCATGGCTCAGAGGAGGATATTTATAGCAACACCCTACTTCTAGTGACAAATACTTTGTGCCTGAATAGTGCTGAACAAGAGGACACATTCTTTAATGCAGGACCACCCAGACATGAGACACAAGGCTCTCAGGTGGTTGATTGTGCTTTCCATAATATGCTGGGTGTTCCATGTCAGATGGAACATCACCAACTTAAAGATTTTGAAGATGCATCTGCTGCAGAGGTAGATGTCAGGAATGAAAAGATTTATTCATGATAGTGCAGAAGGTGAGAAGGTTGTTTGTTCCTCGAGGACTCAGGTTAAGATCACATTCTGGGCTGATAACATCTCTAAGGACACAAAGCAACCTCTGTGTGCTTTGTGAAATCACAGATTTATTATCAAGGAAAATGCAGAGCACAGGCAAATGTGTAGCTCTGGTGTTAGATTTAGTTTTAAGATGCAAATGGACTTGTTTATTAGCACAAATGACTGAAAGCATCCTTGATGTTGAGCTTAGCCTGCTCATTAAAGTGGACTTGGGTCATATCACCAAAGAGAGACAGTAGCTTGTAAAATCTATTTACGAAAGAAAGAAAACAGCATGTTTTGCCTTAAAGATAAGCCTGGTGTTTTCTTATCACCAGATCCCATGAAAAGCACAAAGCCAGCAGCTCGGCTCTCGGTCATTTCTGACTTTCCCACCTTGATTGTGCACATCTGTGGCTCTAAAAGCATATCACAAAGATGTTGTTTAAAAGAAAATCTGTGGTTTCCTAAAACAGCTGGACATTGTAATTTTTAGCACACATTACTCAAATAGGCATAAACAGTGCATTGGCTGGAGACTGGTTTCAGCTGCAAGGGAACACATATTAATGTGTTTTTGGTGCCCATGTTCATAATAATACAACATGTCAACCAGTGCAACAGTGGCTCATTCATGTGTTTTCATAGTTTCTGGGCACCAGTGGAGCTCTGTGGCACAGAGGACTAAGATCCATCAGGCTTGGTTTTGTTCTTCTCATCTGACCTGTTTTGGCAGTAAGAGGAAATGGATGGACAGGTCAGTGGATCGGTGTGTGGTAAGACTGGTGTAACGGAGTTGGACAGATGACTGGATGGACTGAAGATGGATATAACAAAGAATGGGTAAACTCTGGACAGATGTAGATGGAATGTGGCCGTCCAGCCAGGTAAGGATTTAAAGACAGCAGAAAAAAAGGGTTGGTCTATTCTTGTCTTATATTCATCTCTGTTGAGGAAGTTATCAGCTGACAGCATGTGAGGCTTCGTATAAACTGTATGTAGCTGGACACACTGCATGGCATCCTCTGCTCGTACCTTCATGTAAAAAAAAAAGCAGATCAGGAGAAGCCAACACACTTAAAATCTACAAATCTGGGCTTTGTGGCTTCAGATTGATTCCAGAGATTTTTTTTTTTAAAGTTAACTATGAATTACTGTAAGTGAGGCTCAGTAAAACAGCCCAGTGGGAACAGGCCTGTAGTTTATTTTAGGAATTTGACACGTTTAATACGATGGGAATAACAATATTAAAATTCCACTTGGACTGAGGGCTGACATGGAGTCCTGACCTATTTATTCTATTGTGTATCCCCTACTACATGTGTGATTTTTAGTGTTTTATTCAACTACAGCAATCATTTTAAATAGCTAATCACTTTATTTGACCTGTGGTCATGGTATATTAATGACAAAATGTGCAATCTGTTCTTTGACCTGGTGTTGTAGCTGGGTTTGCACGTGTTCTCTGTGCAGTGTATGTACACTGTTTATTTTATTTTGTACCACGGTGACAATCATTTAAATTACACAGCAACAAAACACAAGGCCCCTGGTTGTAGTTGCTTATTTCATTCTTCAGATCTTGGAAAAAGTGTCCAGTCATTATCTTGTTTTTGTTTTTTGTTTTTTTTTTTTGGTTGTCATACTGTATATTACATGTATTATTTTCTGGAACTTGTGGGATCTGTTATTCTGATAACTGTAACAAATAAAATGTATTTTAATGAAATCTAGCAAATGCTTAACATCTGTGTGCTGACTAATGTCCTTCATGTTACTCTGAACGTTAGACTGTTGTGTTGGTTACAGTACTTGAACATAAAACACCACAGTCACTGGGAAAATTACTATAAAAATGCTTTTTTTTTTTTTTTAATTCTGGAATTCGATGGACTCTTGATGCAAGTTCATTGTATCCTTGACCTACATTTACACCGTTTTGTAAAAGTAACCCAGTGCATATTTTTAGGTTACAGCTGGCACACATCAGGTGTGTTATGGAGCAGGTGGAATCCGATATGAAAGTTGTCAGGTGCTGCAGTTTTTTTCAGTGAGGGTACTGTTATCTTTTAGAAATACCAAATAATACTGGCCCCCACAAAGACCTGATGTCCACATAGAGTCAGTCTGGGATTACATGAAGAAATAGAAGACACGGAGCAGAACTGTGGCAAGTTTTCCAAGATGTTTGGATCCACAAACTTGCCAAGTACCTGAAAAACTGTCTGCCCAGGAGCAAATATTGATTTATTTGCGTATTTTTTCTGTTTATCACACTTTGCATTAATTTATTGATAAATAAAAATACTCATACAATTTTTGGAAGCATCCTCACTTTCTTTTCAAAGCCTGTGATGTTTACACATTAAAACTGTTACCATTCCCTCTGTGCATATAAAGATCAAGATCAAAGATTTTTATTGTCAATTCACTATATGTGCAGGACATACCGAAAATCGAAATACCGTTTCCCTCTCACCTAGTATTGAATGCAATACCAAATACTGTTATGCATTGCAACAAAACATTGAAGACAGTACAGGCCAGTCTTCAAATAACACATTAAACCCCTGAAATAAATCAGTAGCTACAGCACACTGTGCCACTTCTGCAAAATCACGTATGAGTCTTATAAGGAGCTGGTTAGCCAAAACCGTGCTTTTGATAGAAAACTGTACAGCGTCACGAACAGGATTCGAACCTGTGCGGGGAAACCCCATTGGATTTCGAGTCCAACGCCTTAACCTCTCGGCCACCGTGACTTTGGGGGTGCACGCGCAATCTTCATTTTTTTTGAGTTTAATATATGTTCTAACTAAGGCATGCTGTATTATACCACAAGTATATTTATGTCCCAAACTCCATCGAGTATATCTGAAACATGAATTAATCTTTGTTAATCATTAATCTGGATATGTGGAAAATAGTAAATACCTAAAATAGGCATTTAAAAACTTTAAAAAAATGATAATTACATTTTAAAATTTTTATTTCACTGAATCTTCCATACGGGAAGTTATGTGTATCACATTTATATGCGTCTATAATAATGCTGCGGTTGTTGACCAACACTATTTACATTGTAAACAAATACCGGTCCCGGAAATTTGCCCTTGAGCTGGGGACACACCATACGTTGCGGCCAACAGACATAGAATTTCGATTGGTCCGTGAGTACATGCCCCGCCTTCTTCAGCTAAACCCTTATAGCTGTTTGGCTGTCACAGTGAAAAGGAAACGCCAACACTTACAGAAGCTAAAATGATCAACTGGAAGGTAAACTAACTAAAATATATTGTTTCTAGATATCTTTTCTGGGTTTTGTTATTAGTTCAAAAGCTGTTTTCTATTTTGTTCTTTTGTGTTGAAGGTTGTCTGAACCACCACTAGCACAATGCTAATGTCACTACAACTGAGCAGTTAATAATTTGAGTGAATGGCACTGCCTGACTATTCACAGCAAAACTCTAACTTAATAAAAGCAACAAGCAGAAAGACGGTATAGTGTACCTACACACTATTTAACCATTGCTTCGATTTACTATTTATCTATTTGTAAGACTTGTGACAGATGACGCGAGACATGCCTTAAACGGAAAACTTTGAGACATTCTGTTTGGATATTCGTTAATAGCAATTCTAGAAATTAGCTTGAGAATAACACCTAAAGCTGTTGGATCAGTTCAAAAAATGATTGAAATACATGTCACTTGGTGTGTTGAATATATGCCGAGTTAAAATGTGAGCTTTACAGATTATGAATGTCTTAAAACCTTTTGTGTGATGTGTTATGTTTGTCAGCATGTATATAGACAATTTAGTCACAGTTAACGGTGAGGAACAATGAGTGCATGATTGTGCGTGACTGCTGTGCAGCTGCTTCCCCCTCTCACACAACACCTCCCTTCTCTGTGGCCAAATTTAGCTCCCAGCTCCTATGTAGGCAGCTGAGGACTCAGTGGAGAAGTGGGGACGTGGGGGGACGTCTTCTCCTGGGCCCCTGACTGTTCCAGAGTTTTCTTTACCCCTATTTCATTTCTTATTGAATAGTCACAAAAATAAGCTTAGTCTACTCTAGTCAAGAGAGTGTCCTGCTGAGTTAAAGTTATGTCTGGAAGAAAAATCAAAAGATGACTGTCGTGAAATCAGTACAGCTCTGTTTCCTCCATAGAAATGTATTTTGATCTATCTTGAGGCAGACAAATAGAAAAATAAGTCCTCCTCGAACATAAACTCTCCTCAGGTTTTGGATAACTTCCCCGTCCTCCTCTACATCCTGGCCCTGAAGACATTGCTGCTGTGTTTGGCCTTTGCGGGGGCAAAAATCTACCAGAGTAAGAAAGCAGAGAAGGCCCTGAAGAAGCAGCAGGCTGAGAAGAGGAGGCTGGCTCAGCAGACAGAAGACCTCATCGACAACCTAAAGGAGGACTGAGGAGAGGTGCTGCTGCACACAGGTACTACACTGGACCAAGTCATCAGTCAGATGTTAAAAATGGTTGCATTCAGGTTTTGGAAGGCTGATAGTTTTATTAAGAAATATTACTTTAAAAATGAATATGCTGTAATACACCTTTATCCACTGCAGTCAGCTACCCTGTCTGTCAGATCTGTACACAGGTTACTGTACATGGGGTCAACAAATCCTGTAGGAATCAGCTAGTCCAATTAACCTTTTACCCTCTGCTCCAACCTAAGGCACACTAGCATTATACATTTATCAGACCCCAGTCATTGTGGTCAATATTCAAATACTCTTGCAACAGATTATGGGGGTTAGAGGGTCGACCAGTTTTCTAGAGGAGTTACATTACTACATTACTTCAGGGTGGATGATGTCTTGATATGTGGCAAACCTGATCATGGTCCAACTCACTGACATCTTTCTTCTCCAGGGAAATATATTGCTGACCTGAGCAACAACAAAGACCAGCCAGATGTGTAACTGTTGGCAGGAGATGGACTTTGCTGAACTTGGGGAAATGATTTGTGGTCTCGCTTTCAGGACTGTTCACCTATGTCAGTTTTATATATGTATAAATGTTTGGCTGGACCAGGTTTTTATAACATGAAATTAAAGCCGCAACCGTTTGGACTCCTGAAGTAAGACTGAGCTGAGCAGCTGTTTTGTCTTTTAAATTGAGATTATGTCTGTAAAGACACAGCAGGCTCAGCATCAACCTGTCATGTGCCAAGCATCCTCTCCATTCTGAGCTCAACTCCCCCCAGCATTACCTGTCTTGTCTTCAGCTCACCACGTCGGCTGAGGACGTCATTCAGGCTGCTTTGTACACCGCCATTAATATTACGAATAGTTAGAAGATAGTTTGTCAAATGTGCATATTTGTTTGAATACAACATGGTGTTTATTCTGTAATATTCCTTGTAAATTGTGAACCAGCTTTGTGTCTAATTGTTATATTAAATGCTTTATTTCATATGTGATAATGTTGTACTTAGTTTTCTCATTATCCCTTATTTAAGACATTGTGGGTTCTCTATTTTTAAGCTACAAGTGTCACCATGAGCCTATTTTTCACATGCAGCCATAACGCTACGCTCCAGCAATGAGTACAGACCAGTATTCCTGGCTCAATTGCTTGTTTGTTGTTGCTGTGGAGCTGTAGTTGCTGATAGTGACCACTGGAGGGCAGAAAACACCGTTTTTGATTGATGATAGATACACAGTGATGGAAGTATGCTAGTCAGGTCAAAGTTCCAGTACACCACAGTAAATGCAAGTGTGGGGGTGCAGTATGTGGTCATTGAAAATGTGTTCTGATATATGTTCTTCACACAAACTGAGCCAAGGCCATTGAGTCTGAGCTTGAAAAAATAATTACTCATATATTTTTCTTCATATAAAAAGCGAAAATGGGTATTATTTACCCAAACAGGGCACCAGGGTTAACCCTTATGTAATAAAGGTAAAGGGCAAATGCAAACATCTGTTGATTATTAGAAGTGATTGTTACATTGTTTTACATTAAAATTCTTTGATTATGTTGAGTTACAAAGCCAAAAGATGATGCA